ATCTTTAGGATTCTAGTGAATGCATTCACAATTTGAAAAACTGCCACCCAAAAAGTGCAATATGGCAAATATCTATTTTATAAATTGCAGTAAATTAGAATTAATTCTGTTTTGAGAATTTTTATTTTGAATTTTGTAATACCTGTTAGAGGGGCTGCAGTGGCTCAGAGGTTAAAATGCTGAGCTGCAGAAAGGAAGCTCTGCAGCTCAGGAGTTCGAGTCCCTAGTGCCGCATGATGGAGTGAACTCCTGTCTCTGGCCTCAGCTCCTGCCAACCTAGCAGTTCGAAAGCAAGAAATTGCAAGTCGATGAATAGGTACTGCTTCGGTTGGAAGGTAACAGCTTCCCACCGAAGCTGAGAGCCAGTTTGGTGTAGTGGTTAAGTGCATGGACTCTAATCTGGGAGAACCGGGTTTGATTCCCCACTCCTCCACTTGCACCTGGCTGGATGACCTTGGGCAAGCCGTAGTTCTGATAAGAGCTGTTCTTGAAAAAAAGAGCAGTTTCTGTCAAGAGCTCTCTCAGCCCCACCTACCTCACAGGGTATCTGTTGTGGGGAGGGAAAGGAGTTTGTAAGCCGCTCTGAGACTCCCTTGGGTAGTGAAGGGCGGGGTATAAATCCAATCTCTTCTTCTTCTTCCGTGCTCCTTGGCATTTAGTCATGTTAGCCACACGACCATGGAGAAGTCTTCGGACAGCGCTTGCTCTTCAGCTTGGAAATAGAGATGAGCACCACCCACTAGAGTCAGATTCGACTGGCTTTCAAGCAAGGGAAACCTTTACCTTTACCTTTAATACCTGTTAAGCTAATTGACCACACACTGGGCTGGGCATCATTGGCATGTGCTTTTTCTGGACACAGCTAACTAATCTCCAGGGCTAGCACCTTCTCCATGTATCCACGCCACATGGTCTGGTGCATCTCCACTGTAGCTAAGCAGTATTCTCAGGTACCAGCAGCACTCTGAGACCCGGATTGCCATTCACCAACAGCTGCTAAGGGCAAAAGTACACATTATGACTGTTTCTGCATGGGTTATTGGTTCCAGGTTTTATGCTGTTAGTTAGCAGTTTTTTTCCTGTTTCTCTACAGCATTGTGGCACAGTTGTACAATTCCTGGGCTTTCCCTGGCTTTCCTGCACTTTCCCAAACCTGTTTTGGAGAGCAAAGCCTGTATGGTTGCCGCAGGAGTAGGAAAGTTTTGATTTTCCTGGTCCCACCAATACAGCAGGCATTTTCCCTGCCTGTGTCCCCACAGCTGCCATTTCTTCCTATCCCCACCATTTTTAAACTGGTGATTGACTAATATGACCATCTGTGTACCAAATTCTTTCAGTTCCCAGCTTTCATGAGGGAAAAGGCTTATCTCCACACTAAAAATTACTGGAGACTTACTTTTTAAAGAAAGAAGTTGGGAATTCAGAGAACCTGACACATCGATCGTTATGTTGTAATAATATAACAATATTCAGTTGCCAATTTTAAACAATGGGGAAAGTCCTTGTAGCAAGGAAGAGTGAGCACTGCCAGGGGACTAGGGCAGACAAACTGCAGGGGAAACTGCCACATGGAAGCACCACTGCTGCTGTGCCAATATTTTTTTATTCCCAGAATTATTAGCTAGGTAAAGAAAGGCCATCAAATAAAAGTGGCATCTACTTGAAGCACACTGTGCTTCTCACATCTGATGGGGTCCAGCGGACACTTGCTGACTCAATTAAGAGCCTGGGGATCATACTGGACCAAGGAAGTTAATGGAAAAGCAAGTTAATGTAGCTACAGTGATGCCTTCTTCCATAGTCATTTAGCTTGGAATATGGCTCCAAGCCAATCTGGCCATATGGATCCTTGCTGTGGTAACTTTGCAGCTGGACTGTTGTAATGCACTACCCTTAAAGGGAAACTGAATTTGGTACTGAATGCTGCAGCTCAGTAGCTATTGGGAGGCCCTGGACATACGGGCCAGATAACGCAGGGGGGTGGCGTGGCTGTTCGCCCCGGAGCAAAATAAAGCGCCGAGGCAGTGATCACACAGCAATGCTGCAGCGTGGCAAAGAAACGGAGCGGTGGAATCACACAAGCGTTTTGCATTTGTGCACATGCGCAGTTCCGCAGAGCAGCACTGCTTTCAGTTTCGTGTTTGTGCACATGCGCTTACGAAAAACATCCGGTTTGCGACAGGATGTGGATGGGCAATTTCTTGCTTTCGAACTGCTAGGTCGGCAGGAGCTGGAACTAGAGACAGGAGCTCACCCTGTCTTGCGGCACCCGGGTCTTGAACCACTGAACTACTGACCTTCCACAGCCTGCAGTTCAGCGTCTTAGCCACTTGAGCCACCGCAGCTCCTTGCAGTGTGATAGTGCCCTGAAAATCCACCTGACATTCGTGCCTTTCGCACAGCAAATTCTCCGTGTGACCGGGGCCGGAGCTAGGCAAATCATGCATATCACACCCATTCTGCAATCACTTAATTGATTACTGATCAATTAGTGGGTTCCAATCAAGGTACTGGTCATCCATCACCTATAAAGCCCTTCATGACCTTGGACCCACATACCTGCTGACTGGCTCTTCCACTGTGCTGTGCCATGTGAGCATCATCTGAGCAAAGCCTTCTGAGGCTGTCACTCTACAAATGGGTAAGATTGGCAACAACCTATACACACGCATTATCCATTGCGGTTCCCACCTTTTGGAATAGCCTGCCTTATAGTAGAACAGCTCAGGAGACCACTTTTATATGGGAACAGGACTGTTGTCTGTTGCCATGTTTATTGTATGTATGAGCTTCCTTTCACTGCTTTGCCTTCTGTCTTGTAATCAATGCTCCCTCTAAGCTGTGGAGTCTTGTGAGCAAAAATTCTTCTTTGTGAGCTACTGGCATTAAAATTGTGAGCAAACAATTCAGGTACTGCATAAATTAGTTTGCTCTGGAGCCATCCTTCCTGAACGAAGACAAAAATGTGTGAGCCAGAGGCTAAAAAACTGTGAGCTAGCTCACACTAACTCAGAGGGAACACTGATTGTAATCTACTTTCTGCATCATGGTATGTCATGCCTTACACAATATTTGTTTGTTTGCTTGCTTGCATTGTTTTCTAAATCTGTAAATATAGTCCTATTGCATTGTTTATTGGATATCTTATGTTGTATGAATTTCCATATTTTGTAATGGCCCTTGAGTCTCAGCAAGAATGTTGAGCTATAAATAAAGTAAATAAAGACCAGTGTCCTGGGCACCATGGAGAAAAGGTGGATAAAAAGGTGGCTGGTGGGTAGCTAGGTGGGGGGAGCATCTCATGAACCCCTGGGCTGTTCACTTTAGGTAGCATTCTCCATGCATGTGTGTGTGTTCATGGAGCAGCATTTGAACAGGCCCTCAAAAGTATTTCCATTTCCTTTATCAAAAAACAGTAAGGCTTCTCAGTTTGGGTTGAACAAAATATTAGAAGTTTTTCTACTATGCCTACTATAACAAGGTTCAGATGACAGGTTTCAGGTGTACTGTCTGTTGTGGAAGGACAGGCACAAAAAAGAAGCTCGTTGGCATAGAGAATGACTCCCACATTAGCTTATCTCCCTCTGAGGAGAAAGCTTTTCTTAGAAGAGAGACTAGAGAAATAAAAGATCCATGTCCCATTGTTCACTGCTTTTCCTTATCAATATGGAACCGTTAGTATGAATAAAATTTTGGGAGGAGAGGTCACCAATTTATCACATGTACATTCCTTCCTTCCTCCTAAGAACCTATGGAGGAATATGTTGCTCTTTGTACTTTGTGATTAGTTAGATGGAGAGAGCGTAAATGATCCAAGGTTCCCCAGTGAACTTCATGGCTCAACAAGGATCACAACCTGGGTTTCCCCAGTCCTAGCCAGATACAATCTTTATTGTTACGTCACACTACCTGTTTGCTTGTTTGCTTACTAGTGGTGGTTTTGTTTTTGAAGTTATGGTGCTAATGGTGGTAACATTGTTGATCTGTTGTATGACATGGGAAATATTTACAGTGACTTAGCTCCTGATATTCTACCTATATTTTCCATTAATTTCATACTCTATGGTCTCTTTCCAGCAATTCCAGATACTTACCTTTACATAATATCTTTATTGTCATCAACAATTTATACTATTTTACTATTTCTATGGTGTTCCTAATAATACAAAGTATTTTTCAGTGTTGATGTCCTATAACTTCGTGCTTTTAGATATTCCCTTCTCTTATTTTAACTGTATTCACTCACTTATCGTAGATCGCTTGTGGATCATTGGTCTTGAATTCTTTGGGCTTAGTAGAATATTTTTTTCTGCAAATGACTTTTCTCTTAAGGTAGAATACCCAGAGATTTCACATCATGACCTTCTTGAACATTGGTTTGATGACCATTTCAATTCATTCAATATCTTGAACTATATCTCGATGTAATTCTTTTAAGTGTGTTCCCTTCCACATGTAAAATTAACAATTGCTTTCCATAGTCCAATTTTAATATAAATATATGTTGTTTATAATGATTCCCTTTAGTAGGTTGAGATACATTCTGCAATGTATTTAATAATTTTTTAAATAAGCAACACATAAGATTGTCGCCATATCTTCTGGGTCAGTGTTTTAAGGTGCAATGTGCCATTCCTATATATTTTTATATCTAATGATGTAATGCTGAAACTTCATTCATACTTAGAAGAAAATTTTTCTCAATAAATTATACATCACCTTTCAAATATTTTGCATTTTCCTGCTTGAAATATTAAATTTGCATTTTTAAAAAATTACAAATAATTGTACCGCAAGAGAATGCATAAACCAAGATCTGTGTTATATCGTTATCTCCTAGATCATTCACAACATGTTTAACTCTGAAGTTTGATTCACTGCAATTTTTTTTTTTTTGCAAAAAGATGGTAGTTGTATTTACATTAATTTATTTGGCTTGCTGGGGGAAAAAATGATATGCCCCAGCTCCTTTACTTAATGGGATTCTTTCCTCGTTGCAGTGCAAACGGCTGGAGCAGGAGCTTCATCATATGAAAGAGCAGAACCAGACTTCTGCAAACAACATGAGACATCTGACTGCTGAAAACAATCAAGAACGTGCTCTGAAGGTAAATCTCCATTCCTTCTTGCAGGCAAATTAAGGTTGTAAGCCCTGGGTGCCAGCTTTCTGTGCCGCATATATCAGTTGTGTACATTTCGGCAGAAGTGAGCTGCGCTGTTTGCCAACAACCCCTTCTTTAAACACAGACACAGCACCCTTCTGTTATGGTATTATTTTGTGGTGTGTGTGTGTGTGTGTCTGTAAGCACAACAAGATAAAAACAACATTTTCTCTAAATTGGCTAGGTGTGTTTTGGTAACTAACATTACATTCATATGGATTCAGTTCTGGCAATATTTTACAATATTTGGTGAACAATTGCTGTTTGTCCATTGGTAACAGTACAAAATGAATTTTTTGAATAGTGTCTGTTTGATATGCTTCAAGTCATGTGTGCTATATTAATAAGATTGTTGACCTATCCTAGTAGTGACCACATAGCTGATACTGCTATTTGCAAAAGGGGAGCTTATTATTCCTCTTCCCAGTTCCAGGTGAAAAATGTATTGTCAAAAAGGATAAAAGGGAGGAAGCAGACAAAAGAGAGTGAGAGTATTTGAAGAGGTTTGTACTTGGATTTTTAGAAAATATGTATCATGGCCCCACCGGATTCCTTTGATATTTCTCCTTAGAAATCCAAAAAATAGCAGAGAAATAGATGTTACAAAATACCCAAGTATGTCCACTTAACCCCAATATGTGTAATGGAGAGCAGAGAGAAATCTTACCAGGAGTCAGAATTGTTCTGTGACTTGAAACTATTACTTGTTCTGTTTTTTCCTTTTTAAGCTTAAACTAAATTGTTTCACATTTCTAAGGACGAAATTTCTGCTATCTTTAACTTCTAAAATATGTAAGTTATTGCTAAATGAGCTTGAGATAACTGTCTAAGCTGGGCTTGTTCTTTCCATATCCCCACCCTGGGCTTGCTCCATGCAACTTTCACAAGGCACAAAGATAAAGCTGATCCTTGGTTGGTTGTCATGGGATGCACAGAAAGCACTTGGAGAGGAAATTAGAGTCAGCTGTCAAATAAAATGCAGTTACCCCCAAGCTGCTCCACATGCTTGTTTTACCTATTCTTTGGTTGTCAAAATCAGACCAGCTTTTATCCCTCTGACCACACAAAGAGAGACTTTTAAACTGGTATTCAGTCCTAAGTATTCGTGCCAGTGGATCCATCTATAACATTGGACTAACATCTCTCAGTGTTGCCAAGTCAGACATTTTAAAGTTACAACCAATTATATTTGTTTACGTTCTGTCCCCCTAGTCTCATGGCTGGACTAAAAATATGCATATACTTTGCATGTGTACACATTTGAATCACTAGTCATTTAAAGTTCCATGCACACAAGCCCAAATACACACATTTACATTTTCCCCTAAATAAAACATCTAGTTTATAATAAATAGATTTGGATCCCTGGGTACATTTTCACTAACTGAAACAGACTGAATTGCACTGATTTCTCCCTCCTGCTGCAGACCTCTGACTCTCCCCTCATGATGTTCCTAGAGACCCTGGTCCCCCAAAACAGCATTGGGGGGGGACATTTTGGGCTCCAGAAGGAGGGGGAGTATAAAGACCCACTTTGTTGCTGGAAATTCCTTCCATCACTGAGGATTTAACAAAGGATTGAAACCATGGGGTATTCCACATTCCAGTTGGGTACCTCACTCAAGATGCAGATCCTGTATTGCATTCCACACAATTATCAGGGGTACCTGATCCTCCGAAAGAGCTTTTAGGTGGTGCAGGGGGATGAAGCAGACAGGAAATAAGCCTTCTGTGAGTGGGACAGAACTCAAAGATATAACCATAATATTTGTCTGTGAAATTTTAAAAGTATTTTTCAGTGATACTGAAATATCCCAGTATAGATGACAAATATCCTGCTCTTTCAGTATTGAATGAGCTTTACAACTCATTTTATATGTTACCTTGGGCTTCCCTTCCCCCACCACATTTTTCCCAGCAATTGCAAGAATATGTCCTTTTGCCAGAGCAGTGGTGTAAACTGATTAGGATTTCAAAAATTGTCCTTTGGTGACATCTTACAGTTCTTCACTTTCAGCTTTACATCAGTGTGTTGAATATAACTAATTTTACAGCAGACTTAGAGATCTTGGTCACATCACTGTTTATAATAGCTGAAATATAATATCATAGACTTTTCCATCCATCCATTTAGTTCCTGAAGCACATATTAAACAGGTCACAGTAATAGACTATGTGTGAACTGAGAAAACTACAGAAACTAGCCATGTGTATATAATCACCTGGCTTCTATGAATTGCAAAAGGTGAGAGTACTGGAATGAGACATGATTCTTATGCAGAAACTGCTGGCCAAATAGAATTACCAAGCAATTCTGCCATTTTTTCCTTCCAAAGAAGAAAAACATACAAATTTTAGAAAACAGCATGCTGCTTTCCACAATGAACTATTTACATATGTGGTTATCTTTACACAAATAGTACTTTTGACTCATTTGTATAAGTAATTTTAATTGTGTTCCTGAGTGTCTGTTTCAGTGGAAATAAAAGCACATATCCGCAATAGTTTTATTTGGCTTGTTACTAAAGACAAATAGATTGAGAGCAGAACAACCTTATTATTTGTGGTTAAGAGAAGCGGACAATTGGTCAAGGAAAATCGATTTCCGGAAACAAAATAGATTATATGAATGGAGTTAATCTCAGCAAACATTAAGGCCTGAAGGGAGGTAGTGTAGTATAAAGGTTTTATAATATCTGCTTAGTTCAGTTAGACAAGAAATTATACCTGTCTGGGAGTTCAGCATCACATTTTTAGATACCAGGGATTCTCCAGCAGTCTAGGGAACTTTCACATCAAGCTTTTCAGCATCCATATGAAAACCAGAATAGGAGTAGATATGAGAAGGCTGTAAAATTGCACACTGCTTAGCAGTTTTTCAGATTTACTCTCAACCATGCCTTGTGTAATTTCTATGCCGGTAATGAAATCTGTATGCAACCAGTTTTTTTACATAAAAGAGAAATGTCCCTCTAACAGAAAGTTAAGTTAGTGCCCAACTTTAGAATTGCTAAAAAAATCTTATGAAACCCTATTCCTTGTGCATGCCTCCTGGTAAAAATAAAATAAATAAATGGGTAGGCTGTAGGTTATCAAGGGTGGGATCTTAAACATGCTTAGGTTCCACTTAGCAAGACACTGTAAACACGTGCTGTAATTTGAAGAGGACTTTGAAAAAAATGTTGGCTATATCCAAAGTGTGGGAGCAGAGCGTGGACCTGCTTGTGGAAGGCAGGAAAGAGTCCTTGATTTCTGTGAATATCATCCTCCAGATGTAGGTCCCCACACTGGAGTGCCTTTTGAGGCGTATGTGTGCTGCAGCAAAAAGGAACATGAAACATCCGCAAGCAGAATTCCACTTGGACTTCTTGGGGTTCAATCCCCTTGTAGTTTTATAGGATTAGTACGATTTACCCCATGGTGACAGAATTGAATGTGTTTGTATATTCCCTCCCCACATAAAGACTAGTGCCCCTTGTCCATGGGCAGATCTACACGATGTAATCCAAAACTTAGGCATTGGCTTTGTCTCTGAAAACCTACTTTACTTAGCAGCCATAAGGTGAGAACCTGTGTCCTATTAGAGATTAATTAAAAAGCAGGCAGCAGACTGTAAGAATAAACTGAGTATTTTCAAAGAGCAGAAGTAACCATGGGACTTACTCCACCCGCTCTCAAAGTTGTTCATTAGAAACAGGTATTTTAAATAACTCTCAGGGGCAAATAGTAAAGTAGCCAAGTTTTCAGTTAACAGCAAATAGCTCAGAAGGGTAAAATCCAAAGCAGACAACAAGGAACCTGCCCCCCCCACACACACACACACAAACTGTTCAAACCAGGTGCACAGTTGATGGAATGGCAGAGGAGGTTTGAGCTAAATGCTAAGTACTGCAACAGAAAATTTCTAATCACACATACTTTGCTTGTGACTACCTAGGAAAATGATTGTGAGGTCATAGTGAAAATATTATATCACTGAAAATATTTCCACATGCAAAGACCATGTTCAGTATGAGTAGGTATTAAGAAAGAATGAGTATTGAAACAACTGTTATTTTGATTTCCCTTCCTATTCTGAGTGCATAATGTTCCAGTTTCATATAACCCTTCACCTCAAAAGCCATAGGAAGCTCTAAATAGCAAAGGTCTTTCTGTGACCCATCCATGATCCCCTTATCTGAAATGCTGCTCCAAGTTAATAGAATCCACTTTCTGTTGATTGTAGACACTGAGGAGACATAGGTGGAGCAAGTCCTATATAAATATTTCTGACATTTGTGCTCCCCCCCCCAAAAAATGGTACCAGGGCTCCTTTACCTGAAAGAGCCCAGTTCTTTTGTGCAGCTTGAAATCTGTAGCTGACGTGAATGAGTGAATTTTTCTAGAGACATGGAGACAAAAGCAGGTAAGGCCTTAATGTGTTCTCAAGGCTACAAACTAACCTTGGCTTGGCAGATACGACGTGTTTACACTCATCAACTCATCTTTCATTCTTAATCTGAAGATCTTGATGGTGCTGCTATGACCAATGGTGTGACTTGTGCTAAGAATGCCAAAATTTGCAGCTGTTTCCCAAAAGCTACTTACTTGTAGAATTAGTTTTAAAAGCATCCTGGTTGTTCTCTGTGCTTAATTGCCACCCTCCTTATTTGAAGAACACTGGATATAATTTATGGAAAATATCAAATTCTTCCACCACAACATCTAAATCTCACAAGATCTAAATTTTAATGCAAAAATAAAATATGTTCAGCATTCCAGTTTTATCCAGTTTGCCCAGTTCTACAATTTAAGTTTGGAATTTTGCTTTCAGGGGAAATGTGCTGTATACATACACACACGTGAATTGGGAAAAGAAGCTCGTAGGTATGCAAAATAAAGAAATGTTATCCATGACATTTTTCCCCTCTCCCACTGTCCAAAAAATAATTTCTATTTCCTGTTTT